AGGGGTTGCTCAATTGATCAGACATTGAGTTTGCTCCCCAATGATCACCAATTCGAGTCCTCCCAGAACTACTGAGGTGAGTACCCGACCGTAAACTTCAAGACCTCGTGGGATTAGTCGAGGTGCGCACAAGTTGCTCTGGACATCCACGGTTATTAAAAAAAAAATTGTCTTATCATTATGAAAAAAAAAAACTAATTGTTGGTTATTAAGGAATACAGAGTAAATTATAAAAAAAGATTGATTGACCAAAAGAAATAATTTACAAGATATCTGAGAAAGAAGGGCTGGATAAACTGAGAGATCGGTTTAAATAAATATACTATAAGGTTCTAACTTCTCTAACTTCAGGAGATTATCCGTGTTCCTTTATCGTTATCTCGTCTGATCGAAGAGTCTTTGAAAATATACGTGAAACTACTGTAATTCTCACAGTTCCTAAACTCTATATTAAGTGAGGTTCCCGAGGCGCAGAAAATTTGAATTTCTTCGTAATAACGGTGATATGAACATGTCTACAAAGACGAAATATTTCCCTTCTTACATGAGAAGAAGAGGGGTTTCCAAAACCTACAACTTCAAAATCATAACAAGCAAAAGACGAGCAAGTTGCACATGTCCTAATAGACAGAATAGGGAAATATCTAAATTTCATATGCTTCTAGACAAATTATTTGAAGGAACTTGACCCCAAAATGATTTATGAGTGCACATAAGTATCCTTCTCTTTTTTCTAACATATTTGCTGCGCTAATGCACTATTACTAAGTAGATTTCATTCTTCTGCTATTGTCAACCTGTAATTACATTTTTTTCTTATACTTGCTGCCTCATTTAGTAGTTAATTTTCTTAATTTAGTTCTTATTTAACTCGATTAAGATCAGGCATTAAGAAGCAAATGAAACCAACCAAAGTGCTTAAAGGTTACTTTTGTAGAAAATAAGACGACTAGGTTTGTAAGTAAAAAATGACTGTTAAAAGATTGTAAGGCAAAGTAACTAATTCAAAAGTTTCTTTGAAGTATGGCAAAACATTCTCTTTTAGTAATATGCTGATAGAATAACACAACAATCTGAGACCTAATCTTCTATGTATAGCCTTGAAACCTATATTTTCCAACTAATCTATTCTAACTCCCAACAAATTCCTATAATTTTAGTTGACGGGAATTGTAATAAATTCAACCTTTCGAGGTATAATGACAGACCCAGAGGCTCGACTCGAAGGAACAGGTGGAGACATTTTTTCTTATGCATGATAATTCTTTTAATATCATAGATTCCAAATTAGATCCAAAACTTCTTCCTATTTGTATGACTTGACTCAAATGACTTCCAAACTAATACAGGTTCAGATTCAATTTCAAGTGCTTCCCCCAGCTACATGTATCTGACAAGAACACAATTTGAACACAAGCTGACCGAGGATCTCAACGATGTATCAAACATAAAACTACAACTTTATCACAAATTCTACAACCACCAGCAGTATTACGAAAGTCTTCTTCGACAACCTATAAATCCTAAACACATAATTGTGTATTTAATAGTGTAGAATCTAACATAAATCCCTTACTATTCTAGGTAGATGCCACCCATATTTATGTCAAACCCACAGTACAAAAATGTTTTCGGTTTTCATCATCAAATTACAACTATTTCCATTGAACAAAACTTCCAGGTTAGAAATTATATCAATCAAAGCATGCATATAAATGAAACTTACAATTCCATCATACCAGAAATCACCAGTGAACACACAATTTTACATGTCATCAAAGCCAACAAAAAAAAAAAAAAAAGAAATAATATTCAAACGGAAATAAATAAATCCAGTGATTTTGAAATAAACAGGAGCCAGAAACAAAGAAAAGACAGAATTTCAGAATCCTCGCCAAAATATACGTAATAAAACTGTAATTAACTTGAACAGAAAGGAGTAACATCCATAATATCCAGCTAAAATACGTCCTTATTCGTCAAACATTTACTAGAAAAACTACTAACAACAAAAAAACTCTTGACTAGTGGACTTATCTGAGATCCCCAAATCCCCAATCCAGCATAGCCATCCAACCCAGTTCAAAATCAATCCTGGGCCTTGAGCTTCTCAACACGCTTATTCAACTGTTCAATCTTAACCACAAGGCCTGTGACGGAATAAAGAAGCCAGTAAAACAGCAACGCAGATGCGATTAACAGAGCATTACGCTGTGATTTCATGATGGATTTCTGGTGGCGGAGATGTTCAGATGGGGAGCAAGAATCGGACTCGCAACTGGGTCGATGCTCGTACTTCCAGTAAATATCCATTAACAGGAAGAGACAAAATGGTACGACGGACATGAACGGCTTCAGTAGGCTTCGAGTGACGCTGATCAGTCCCTTACGAAGCGGGTGGATGCCCGGGAGGGTTAGAAGGAGGACCATGATCGCCTCTGCTCCCGCGACGTAGCCTAGAACAACCCATTCCAAAGCCATTGATAGTGGGAGAAACTAAGAATTTTGAAACGATTTGGGGCTTTTGGGACAAGTGAGAGAAAGAGAGAAGATCTGTCTTGCGGAACGCGTTTAAGAAGAAAAATCGTGATAATATAGCTTATTTGTACATGATCACTAATGTATTGGGTCTCTATGGAAACAGAACCTATCCTTTTATTTTTAGCATTAAAGTCCACAATTCAACTTCTGACTGCACAATTGGTCCTTTCTATCAATGTTAAACTTTTCAAACGAGAAGAGTACAATACCCTTTTGTTTTATTTGATAATTTGGACGTAAAATTGTACATGACTACGACATTAGTTTTATTTGATAATTTGGCATACATGTAGAAGTTTGTGATTTGATGCACTAGTCAATAAAAAACTACGACATTAATATATCAAATCACAAAATGTCACATGTATACAACATAGACAATTACCGATAATTTTCAATAAATTTGTCAATTTGGGGACAACAAATCTTAAAATGATCCCATTTGAATAAGAACATTCTCAACATGTCAATCTAGTTAACGTTTGACGGATAACTTCCCAAAATGTCAAAAGACAATTGCTCCTATTCCGATGAGATGAAGGAATTGATATTAATGCACTTTTTATGATCATACAAGAAGCATACAAAGGATAACCTCAAAATAGCATGTTACAAACAATATATGGTCTACATACAGCAAATCCTTAAAGTATGCAACTCCATGCTAATCAAAAGCATCTGAATCATCTTCAGATGTCACCTCTGAGCCAGAATCATCATCATCAGTTTCATCATTCTCATCAATTTTAACGGTTTGTTTGGCAGTCATTTTGGTCAATGCTGCTGTCTTACTTGCCCTCTGTGATCGAGTACTCATCACAGCAGGATTCGTGGGAGCCACAGAAGTGGGCGAGAGTTCATCATCGGATGATGATTCTTCTTCAACCCTTGCTCGTCTTCTAGCACGACCTGGCCTTGTTGATTGTACTGCCGGAGTCAATGGCACTTCCATTGTGTCGTCCTCTTCAAGGTTGATCTCTAGTTCCAACCTCCCTATTTCATGAACACAACAAAAGAGATGAAGATAACTCCAAATAGTTGTCTCACTAATACTAAACAAAATAGTACAAGGAGAGAGCTTAAAGAGTAACTAGTATTAACTAGTATCGAATGCATATTAACTCAACATTTATCATGGAAAGCCAAAGAACCAATTGTAAGCAACATATTAATTCTACTAGCAGATAGATTTTTATTCGTTCCAAGCACGAGCCTTATTTTTCACATCTGGGAGAATGAAACGAAATTTTTTTAGACAAGATAGAAATGCCTCAAACCTATCCCAGCTATAAATTGCAACGAAAAGACACTGGAAAAGGGAACTTGAATACCTTCTTTTCCATGCTTAGACAAGATAATAGATTTTTTTTTTTTATTAATGTTTCAACAAATCATTCAAGAGTAAGTAATTCTAAATGATGACGAAGCTCCTCGACAGCTTTTTTTTCTTCTCATCTAGCAAAAGGTTTTCTTGTGTCAACCTTCCTCGTAAGGGCATAAACAAGAAAGTGGTTTCTGCTGTTGAATGATTATGGAATTTATTTAGCTATTAGCAATTTTACTGAACAACGTCCATGAAGAAAACATATATAAAAAAAATTCATTACCAAGGATCTGATTAGTCTGATCAGAAGACAATTTCTGGTCTGGGTGTCCATCTAATTCCTTCAGGCGTTCAGCCATCTGCCTCAGCTCCTTTAGTAGATCTTTTTCAGCAGCTACAGATTCAGATACACGATTTAAGAGCTGCCGCACAAGCTTTATTGCCCCCTGTTCAGATGCCCGGAACTGAAGTAACACAAGTATTCTACAAACTGCAGAAAGATATGATTTCTCAGCTGATGTCTTCTTCGCATGGAAGCTTGCCACCTTGATTGTCCAAAACGAGAAATTAGCTTATGATTACAGCTGAACAGCATACAAATCAATTTATTGCCCTTATTTTAGGTGAACATTGTACTAAGGCACACAATAATTCTAATTACTCGCTGAATATCCTGAGAGGAAGGCATAACAAGTGCAGGAAAAAAGCTTATGAACAGACAAAAAGGAAAAAAAAAACACAAAGTTTATCAATGCTTCTTTATTAATATTCGAGGGTGGGCTTACAGTTCCTACTCCATGAATGAATTACTGGAGTACCACCAAGCAACTACCACTTGCAAGAAAATGTAAATATGCACATGCCTATGCATTGGAAGAGGCAACAAGTCACCTAAAACATGGAACGCGTGTTTAAACACATTATTGAAGCAAGGGCCACTCTAAACATATCTTTATTAAATAAAAGACCAGAAAGATCACGATATAATCCACGTACGCATATGCTTGAGCAGTAAATCGAAACCATGCAACTCTATGCTTATGTGAATCAGAATGATGGTAGCAATTGCATCTTTACAAAACCTAGAAAAACCAACTATAGTATTTCCAAAACTTTCACAGTGACTTCTTCAAAAAGTCAAATAAATATATGTACCTCTACTGCAATGCGTATCGCAAGCCCTTCCTCTCCACTCTCAAAATCAAGTGAAGGATCAGCCTGATTATCCAGGCTTTCAACATCATTTTCATCTGGTGCAGTCTCCTTTGCATATAACGGAACTTGCATCATTTGCAGCATAAAGCGGGAAGCTTGAACAGCACGCTTACGCATGTTAGACACCATAATTGTAGATCCTGTGGCGTTTCCATTGATACCAGGCCACAGGGAACGCATAACTGGCATAAAAGCCTTGGATATGCATTTCTACATTTACAGAGGACATGTATTTCATAAGTGAAAGTTCTTCATAAACAAATAACAAACAGTACATAAGATATAAAGCCCTGTTTGGTTTGGATAAAAATTAGATTTTTAGTAGATTCCAATAAAAGTTGGTGAAATATGTGGTCGAAAAATTGATAAAAGGTTGTGGATCCCACAAAATATGTAGTTGAAAAAGACTTTTTAAGAAATGGAGGCAAAACAGGGGCAAAATGTACAGTATATATTCTCCTTGTGTAATGATTCAGACCTTGTGATTCACAGAGAGAGATGGATAATGCTCAAAGAAAACAGATAGACACTGTTTCAACCTGGCAAAGTGAACAATACATAACTAGTTAGATTTTTACAAAACAATACGAGAATCAGGCAAAGGGAAAAAGCTGTCCACCTCTGAAGTTCTGTACTCTCACTACAAAAGTACAGGATAATGAGCTTGGCTAATAGTAAATGATATGTTGAAGCTTGTACTCCTGGAAACTTTTCACTTAAAAGAAGAATTTTAGCCAGGCCTTCTCCCAGGATGGCCTGAATTGACTCATTCTCATCAACTTCAGCAGAAGCACCCCAATCTTGTCTCTCAAGTCCAGCATATAGCAGATCAAGCAGTTCAATATCCAAACCTTGGCTTCCATTGCTCAAGTCAACAGGAGTCCAAGCCATTCTATGATCACGGAGTTGGGATGAGAGATTACAGCTCATGGCGTTGTCAACTTCATGCGGACCATGCCATATTCCGAGATCAAGTAATGCCTTAGAAGCCATTATTGTAACCGCAGAAGGGCCCTTTACAAAAGAACATCTTAACTGTCTTACTAGAACTTCACTAGGTTTCCTCTCTAACAACCCAAAAAGACCAAGACACCTGATAGCAGCCCTCTGGACATCCAAGTGACCATGCTTCGCCTGCATTTCATAATAGTGCCAGCTAAATTTGAGAACAATGTAAGAGATAAAGGGCTTCTGATAGTTATAATGTTACAAAAAGCAACCCTATCCCTAGTCCCTAACACCCCCCCCCCCCCCAAAAAAAA